AAAAGAATATTTTTTTTTCTCGCCAATTTTAACCACGAAAATCCAACAATGCACTGATGCTAAGTTAGGAACAGACCTTAAATAGTGAAACTGAAGAATGTTTCATTAAAATATTTTTAAGCTTTAGTAAAAAATAATATATTAAATTTTAATTTAAAAATAAAAAAAAATCAATAAATTTAAAAGATCAACAACTAAGTTAACTTAATAATGAAAGATTAAGATAATATGTATATAAAAAAATATTAAGTTGGGTGTCTTATTATAATTGTTGAAAAATAATAAAAATGTAATAACGGATATTTCAGCAGAATATGGCAATCACAATTAAGAATTGCCTAACTGTTTGAAACGTAAGGTTGTGAAGCACTGGATGCGAGTGACGTTTCATTAAATTAAAGGGTGGGACCATTTAACTTAGTGGTCAAACATGCCTAATTAAAAAGTATTTTAGCTAATACTACTTACCTATTATACATCAACATCTCATTTTCTCTTCTCTTCTTTCATTTTGCTGTCCAATATCCTAAAATCCTAGCCTAATTAAATGCCAACTAAGAATGCGTTTTTCAATTATGATTGTTTAGTATTTTAATTTCTACATTACATAGTATAAATAATTATTTTCATGTGATTAAAATTATAATAAATAATATTTTAGACGTACAATGAATATTTTAAATAGTTATATCAACTTATTTTTAAATATTAATAAATTTTATAAAACAAATGAAATTTAGTTTAAATATTTAAATAAATGATGGCATGAACATTTAAAAAATTTAGATTTATGATGAATAATTTATATTGTAGCATTTTTTTTTATTTATTAATATTTAATTTATAAATAATTATGATAAATAAAAATTAGATTATATAAAAAGTTAAAAGAATTTTTAAAATTTCTCTCATTAAAGAAAAACTTCTAAAAATATCCTTATATAAGATAGAGGTTAGTATTTAATATATAAAGATCAATATGAATCAATTTTTTGAAAATCAAATCAAACAAATCTACTATAAAATTAGATTAATTAACCAAATTATTTTTATAAAGTAAATCGATTTAAATTTTTTTTAAAACAAAATAAATTTTATAATTTAGATCGATTTAATTTTTTAAAATCTTTTACAAATTACTAGAACAAACCTTACTTTACAATATAATATTGTAGAGTTGATTTAAGTTTAAACTTAAAATATAAAATGATATCAAAGTTTATAATAATAATTATCGTGTAGACCGTATTATTCTTGTTACTTGTTAGTTTTCTCTGTTTTGTTTCCCAATCATTAAAAAGAGTAAAAAAGTAAGAATGTTACTATATGCAAATTATGTATTTTAATTTATAAATATAAAAATAGATACCAATTGAAGTGAGAGCAAAATTCTTCGCATAAATAAAAAAAATATGGAAACAGAAAAAAACTAAAAGTGAAGTCTCCGATTAATAGTCCTATTCCTATATTTCATAATTCCCCTGTATAGAACTGCCCTATTAGGAGGCATCATGTCCTCTAATTTGGGCACATGCCTCCATTTCTGAACATTCTCCATCACCCAAATTTCCTCAGCCTTGATTCCCCGTACCCTTGTCGTTGTTGTAATCATTTTCTTATCTCCACAACTTTTGTTTTTTGATGTTTCTTTTGCAAACCGTACCTTCTTTGCTTCATGTTTCTCCGAGCCTACAAAGGAAAAACAATGATATTATTTTTTCAAGTACGTAACGAATTTAGAGTTAAAGTAAAAATAAATAAATAAAAATGGTAATTAATGTTTGAAAATAATAGAAATGGTACCACTCAAATTCTTTTGGTCATGTGCGTATTCATACTCAAATTTCTCCATGAAGTTAGATAGTAGACGTTTATGGACTTGATGAACCAAGAAGACCATGCTTCCGGATACAGCAACCACAGCCATCAACCCTAATCTCGTGGAGTTCTCCATTTTTCTTTTCTCTTTGCTATTTAGCAAACAAACTTTGGATAAATTATATGGATATAGAAATAGACATTTATAAGTATCATCCAAGAAAATAACATGGACACTGGTAGGTAATCATTTTGCAGAGGAAATAAAATGATTATGAAGGAGAAAAAGGAGAGTGTGAAGGATATGTAATGATTGTTGGTTTTCAGTGCTTATATATGGAACATGGGAGAGAAATTGACGATCTTCATAACAAAAGAATATTTTTTTTTCTCGCCAATTTTAACCACGAAAATCCAACAATGCACTGATGCTAAGTTAGGAACAGACCTTAAATAGTGAAACTGAAGAATGTTTCATTTATAATTTGTTATTTTTGGACCCATAGAAATTAGAATGGCGGCTGGATTTATCTTTGGATTTTGGATTCTATGATAGATTTGTCTCTCTGTAAGATGGGCAAATTCAGACAATAATGCTTAATTTAAACTGACCCGGATTAATATTATTTCCTATTCTCGAATAATAGGTTGTGAGTCTCTTGAAAAAGAAAAACACTTTAATTAACATAATAAGGATGGTCATATATAGCCAACCACACCTCATGCATATATATTTAGGAAGTCTCAAGAATGAATGAATAATGACAAATAAATCTTATCATCAAAATTAAAATACCCAAGTCATATAATTATTTTTAAAGTAGTCACGTAAAGTTAAATCTTAATAATTTATTTAGGATTGTATAATTCAACTTTATTCTTCACATTTTTATATAAAAGATAATATTTTAACATGTATTATATTCGAGATAAATTTTTAATTTATATAGTTAAAATTTACAATAACTGATTTTTAAATAATAATTTATATTTTAGACTTATAAATAATTTTTATTGTTATCGCTATATAAAAGGATTTTCGATAAATTCCAGCTTATTTACCAAATGGGACTCTCTTACAATAAAGATCTGTTTCAAAGCTTATAACCTCTATGGGGTGGTTAACATTGAAAAAATGAGGCTTCCATGTGGAGAACACAGACGCCATCTATGTTTTCAGTTGAAGTAGATGACATCTAAGTTTTTCATGTGAATGTTACGCAAATAGTCATATTATGCTAGGAGTAAAGTTTTCATATTTTGAAGCTTTAAAAAAAGTTATAAGTAGGGGTCGACAAGACTCCACATGTCGTATTGATCTAGACTGGCCCGAAAAAGATTGGACAAATTTATATTTTAAAATTCGACCTGATATATTTCTTAAAACAAGTTTGGGTTGTTATCCTTGGCACATCCCAACTCAGTTTAATGTATTGCATTGTTTTAAAATATATTTTTTTTAATAATTGTGTATTAATAATAAAACTACTTTATTTAATACATATCATTTTTTTTATATATAAATACATGAATCTTTCTGCAAAGTTGAGTATGAGTAGATATCAGGTACACTTCCTACCATTAGCGCAAGTACTGAAGTTAGATATACTATTTTCGACAATTTGGTCCGAGTTTTAAGCAGTAGAATCCATCAAATCAATTTGGTTCCATGAGAGTAAAATTTATTCAGCAAACTGTCAGGAAATGAGGATATTGCATTCATGGGGGAAGGCTAATTAAGCTTACTTTCACAAAAGAAAAACCTTCAGCCAGCATAAAGTTCCAGCTACCAAGTATGGACTTCGTCTGTAGTCATAATCTGTACAAACTAGTGCTTTAAAATACAGAATCACGGACCCCACATTACACTTTTTATTTCGTTTTCTGAATTTGATATTGAGAGCAACACGATACTGTTTTATTGTTAACAATGCTACTATACTTGACACCAAAATACCACTTATGGATTTGGGGGCCCTCAAAAACATTAAGAATTTAAAAAGAAAGACCAGATCAACAACAAAGAGAAAATTTCCAAGCATACACATTCATTTCAGTTAGGATTTCTTTCTGTACAGACAACTTCACCCATTATATATCTGTCATACTATTTATGTACAAAAAGAATGATCAAGGTAATAAATAATAAATAATGTGTACAAAAAAATGCTCAAGGTAATATTGAAAGTTAAAAAATAAAAAAAATTAATACAATGTCTAGAATATCTGCACAACTCACAGTCTCGGGCTCGCAGAAATTCTACATGCATATTCAACGAATACGGTTCACATGAGCAAAGGGCTCAGTGTCAGCTTTAGGCGCTGGTTTGGAAGCCTGTGGCGTTCCAAAAACATTCCAAAATCTCAGCGTCTCATCCCCTGCTGCAGAGGCCACAGTACACCCATCTGGACTTTGAGCCATGAACAGCACCCTGGAGGTATGACCCTTGAGCTCTGCCATCTTCACCATTGAAGGGTATTTCCAAAGAGAGAGCTGGTTGTGGGTAAACCCATGCGAGCTAAGCAACCCCCGCTCATTCTTTTTCCACAGAAAAGCGCACCCCGGCGAGCCTGTGTCAACAGAGTTCAAGCAAGCCCCTGTATGGGCGTTCCAGAACTTAATGCAGTGATCACCCCCACCTCCACCAGAAGCTAGCAGATTCGCCTGGAAGGGACACCATGCTAGTGCCTTCACAGCAGCTCTATGCTCCTCAAACCTGTGAAGCCAATGGGTCGGTGAATTTGCAGAGACCATAGACCTGTCCCATATGTGAATAACATTATCATTGCCTCCACTCGCCAATTGTCGTCCTGAGGGAGACCACTTGAGCCCACAGACCTCCTGCTGATGCCCCCTATAAGATTCAACAATATGAGACCTCACTCTAACATCATTATTAACAATCCTACTGTCCATCCCTCCAGTGGTGAGGATATGATTGTTCCAACACAGTGAACCCACTCTCGCTTGGTGCCCACCTCTTAGTGTCCTTAGCTGCAGTCACCAAATCAAATCACAACATCAGATTGCATACAAAGAACATTCCAATTTCACAAAAACACAAAAAAGAGTTCAATTTCTATACAACATCAATGTAATCAACCAATAAAGATCTACACAGTCAACCATTCAAAATTCACCCCCAAAATGGATAAAATTTAAAAAAGTAAAACATTTACCATCATAGAAGCATCAGCATCCCAGAGCTGGACATGAGAATTGTTCAGACCAATGGCTAAGACGCGCCCATTAGGAGCCCAGGAAACGCTAGTAACGGGACCATCTTCCTCATCCACGGTAACAAGTTCCGCCGTTGAGCAATCAGCGGCATTCCATATATACACGGTGTTTCCAAGGGCAATACTGAGAACATTTCTGCTTCCCCAGTCCAACAGGTTCAAGTAAAAGTCATCAAGTATATCAGGAGCATCCAAAGTCCTCTCAGAACTCTAACAACCATTTCCACAAACAGTAAGAACACAATTTCAACTTTCATAGCATCTGACTAATAAACACATAATTTCGAATTTAATTAACAAACCTGAGGAATGTAGCGCCTGGGCTTAGAGGATTTGGAAGGAGGAGGAGGCGAAAGGATGGAGTTGGGAATGAGTTCAACCGGCGTTGGGGGTTTGTTCTTGAAGGCCAAGCTTCGAGTTCTGTTCATGTTGAAAGCCTCGGCGAGTTGCTTCAAGTAGGCTTCTCGCGACGGGGACGTCACCTCGCGGTTCTCCTTCTCCTTTTCCTTCTTGTTACCCTCCGTCAGCATGTAGTGAGCGTAATCGAAGTCCATCGCAGACCTATTGGGGATGAACCTGTCCAACTGTTTCCAAAATTAGGGTTTTATTTTTATTTTTATTTTTATTTTTTGCGTGTGGAAATAATGATGCTGGGGCTTACGTTTTCTTGAGAGTTTTTTCTGCGGAGGAGATCTTGGAAGGGCGAACGGGACTTGATCTTGGAGGAAGAACTCCATGGTCCCGCGTCCATGGTTGGAGGAAGAAAAAGAGCGAAAGAAAGCCTGCAAAAGAGATAAACAAGTGAGTGGAAATGAAGAAGGAAGGGAATGGAGAAATAGAGAGAGAGAGAGAGAGAGAGAGAAGAGAATGTGAATGTGAATTGCGGTGGTTGTGAGCGCGCGAAGATCAGAGAGAGATGAATAAGTGGTCGGAGAAGGAAGAGAAGAAGTGAAGAACGATATAGAAAGAATAATAAAGAAATAGGGTTCGTGACATCCTTTTATATGGAAGTAGCCGTTGAGATGTGGTATGACCAAATTACCCTTACATCCCTCACTCACAAACCACCACCTAGCTACTAACGTTTTTTTTTTTTTTTTTTTAAAGAAATGGACAAGCTGTGAAACAGACTTAAAAAATGGAAGTCAGGCTTCAAAGGACACTTCAAAATTGGAAATCATGTTTCACAAGACAATTTCTATTATTTTCTTTAAAGGAAAAGTCATGTATAAAATCACATTTTTTTTTATATTTTCTAATTTAAGAACGTGTTTGTATACACATTTTTAACGTGATTTTCTACGTTGAAGCTATTATTTTTTTATTATTTTTTTTTAGGAATGTTAATTACACATTTATTTTTATATTATAATTTATTAAAAATTATAAAATTAGCAGATGATTATGAAGTAGAATGTAAAATTCACTAAAAAATTATATTTTTTAATAAATTTTAATCAATAAAAAATACTTTAAGAATAGATTGTTAATATTTATCTTTTTTATTTATTTTTACTTTAAAGTCGTGTATTTATGTAAAATTAATTTTTTGAAAAAACAAAAGCAGTGTCTTGAAAAAAATACAAGTTGTGCTTTGAAACACAATCTTAAGTTTTAAAGTCTTTTTTTATCAAAGCCTAAATTACATTTTTATCTCTTTATAATATTAAATTTATAATTTTTATTTATTTATTTTTAATTATATAATTTTAATCTTTTTATAAAATTTATAATTTTAATTTTTTCGCTATACATTCATTCATTAATTATTAAAATTGTCAAATTCTTTATAACTTAGCATTAAATAGATAATCATAATATTTCAACTAAGTCTTTTATTTTTTATTTTTGCAACATTTTATCACTTTTATTGTAACGACCCGTCATGACCATCACACTACAAAACAACACTACACACTACTGGAATATATACTAAAATAGTATAATAAAATATTTACAACATAAGTTGTTAATCAAGCAACTAACAACACCCAGTTATATACAACAAAATATGCTATTATAAGATAGTCTACAAAAAAAATATCCATCTCCAGGCACCTCCTGTGGCCTCTAGCAGGTATCTCTCAGCTTATCACTGCCCTGCTCCCATACAACGTATGATAATCGCAGTCCAAACCACATGAAAACATGCAAGGGTAAGCTAGAGACAATAAACAACTCATAAATATCAAATATGAAACACAACTATATAATCATCTTCACATCTGACACAAAAGATAAATAACACATATATTATACATCTTAACATCATTTCAACTTGATTCCACGTATCAACGTTGTATCAACACTTCAACGCAACTACTGTACAAACTATTGGAATAATTATCATATTCATCATAACAACAGCCAACACATGTGTTACACACACCTCTCAACAACACATGTTTAAAACAACTTACAACACGGTAATCTAGTGACACTAGCATTAGGGATGGGCAAAATTAACTGAATTAAACTAAACTATTAAATAACTGAAATATTTTAAACTAAAAAAACTATAATTATTTAAGATAAAACTGAATTAAACTATTTTTTAGTTCAGTTTTTAAAAACTGAACTTATTAAGTTACAGTTCAATTTACTCTAATTAACTAAAAATATAAAATAAAAACACGGACACGGGCCACGACATGGCACAGTTTCAATTTATAAATGCAGAAATGTGGGTCTTCATATATTGGGTCTTCACATTCCAGCCACAGCCAAGGTTTCTAAATCATAAATCGCAAGCCTCTTCACATTCCAGCAAGCCACGGGCCCATAACACGGGGTTCCTGATTCAGCAGAATCATCACTCCTTCCTCACTCACAGGCAACCACGGATTCCTCCTTCCTCACGCACCAAGTCACCAACCACAGATTCTTTCTTCTTAGATAAAAAATAGTTCAGTTCAGTTTAATAGAATAAAAAATAGTTCAGTTCAATTTTGTGATCTAATTTTCAGTTCAGTTCAGTTTAATTGAACTATTTTTCAATTTAATACAGTTTTTAACAGTTCAGTTTAGTGCAATTTAATTTGCCCACCCCTAACTAGCATCATCATCAACTTGTATACAATTAAGCAACTTACAACATAACAACATTATCATCATCCTCAACAGGATCAACATACAACACAATCACAGCTTAACAACACAACAACATAGATATAACTATTATCAACAACAAATCAACTCATCAACAACTTATGAGTCGTCACGCATTTCAACTCAGAGATCTCCTACAACGTGATAAGTAGTCTAAGTGGCTAGGTTCTACCGAACCGACAACACAAAACCTTTTTGGGCTTGTTAGGTAAACAACAAATTTAGATAGAAATTCACAACACGATAACGATTTCTCAGACTTTGCCACTTAAACAAGGAAGTATAGTACTCAGTTAGGAACTAAGTTCCCGACTTCGTACTTTACTCAAATTGGTCGCTTTGTAATCGGTATAGATCGACATTGCCCCTATATCGTGGTCGCTTTGTAATCGGTATAACTCGACCTTGCCCTTATACCGTGGTCGCTTTGTACACATGTGCCTCGACTTTGCCCACACATGGGATCAACTAAGTCCTAGAGGAGAACAACACAACGTCCACTCCAAGGGACAACTTCCCAAGGAGGGTTTTCAACAAATTGGGCTCTCAGAGCACCACAACTATCTCAATCCACAATGGGATGAACAACTTCGAAAACATCTCTTCTAGTCTTAGTGATCAACAACTTATCATCACAACTGAATTAGCTTACAACTCAACAGCACAGCTCAGCTTAACAACTTAAACAACACACAACTTTCAACTCATCATCTCAATCAACTTTCAACTTAAACAACACACAACTTTCAACTCATCATCTCAATCAACTTTCAACTTAAACAACATGGTATATCAGCACAACAACTCATCAATGTTGTTTAACAACACAACATCTCATTTCAACTTTAAACAACACAATCAACTCAACAACTTATTAGCTCAACTCATAATTTACAACTCAATCATCATAAAATAATATCTTTTCAACACATGACACAACATACAACTTTATAGCAACATATAACTCTTATCTAACAACTTAACAACATGGTCTACTAATAAATTTTGTATAAATCTCAACACGTCTACACATTTCACATCATGCTTCTCACAACTCACAATATTATCATTTCATCATATTTTACAACATATAAATAATTCAGACATAAATATAGCAACTTTAGCAATATACCATGTATTCAACGCATTTTTTATTTGGTACAACTACCCATTTAGTTTACAACACTATACTCAACATGCAACTCTTCATTTCACTTTCTACTCATCATACATCTCAATGTAATTATACAACTTCATATGAGTTCCTAAACTCACATACAACCAAACAACATACAATCTAGTTTTCCTTACCTGAAGACTGGCTTAAAATAGTCAAGAACTGAGAAGAAGTAGAATTTTCTTTTCGAAGCTCAACCCGGAACTTCAATCCACCCAAAGCAAGTTTCCTAGTCCAAAGTCCTTCTCTCTAAAACTTCTCTATAAAAACCTCTCATTCTCCTCAACTCACAACCTCTATTTATAGAAGTATGAAGTGGCCAGAACGGTCCATTCCAAATTAGGAACGGCCCGTTCTAGGCTCCTTCATCATGTGTAAAATTCACATGCAGAACGACCCGTTTTGAAACCAGAACTACCCATTCTGGCACGTCTAGAATGGCCTGTTCTAAAATCAGAACGACCCGTTTTGGAGTTGAATTTAACTCACAATGACCATTTTGGAACGGCCCGTTTCAGACCAAAATTCATAGGCCTATTTAGTAGTTTGGAACGGCCCGTTCCAGTTTGAGAATGACCTATTATGGGCTACTAAATCACCCATGACCTTCTAAAATACTTATTACGTTACATTTATGAGATAAAAAAGGAATTAAACATAAAATTTAATTTAAATATTAATTATTATGTCATCCATTTAATATAAATTAAATCATGATTCACTTATAATTTTGACCATCAATGAATAATATTTAATGAAAAAACCAAAATTACATATTTTATAATATTAAAGAATTAAATTTTTATATTTAATTCTATAGGGAGACAAAAATGCAATTGAGCCCATAATTTATCTACTTCTGTATTTTTTTTGAAGTACTTACTTTGAGAATGTTTTAAAAGAAATTGCTCTAATTACATAAAATTGTTCATATATACAAATAATTTATAGGAAAAAATAATTTTAATAGATTCAACTATTTAATATCTATCAAACTTTCAAGAAAAATTATTTCTGACTTTTTGTGTTTGACAAAGAATATTCCTTGATAATGAACTAAAAAATAGTATAATTCTTTCATTACTTACTAACTAGTATTTTAAAGTGTACAATACATAATATAAATATTTATTTGTTTATCGTGTTCAGTTAAAGTTAGAACAAATAAAAAAAAAATAATATACAAGTTAAAGTTCATATTTATGATAAAAGAATTATAATGTTTATAAATATATAAATTTTTAAATAATTTATAATAAATTAAATAATCATATTTTTAGTAATTTATTCAAAACAATTAAAGAACATTTAATAACAAAATCCAATTGGGTTGATAAAAGTCATAATACAACAAATGAGATTAGTACTCAATCGAGTTAGTTTAGGAATACCCTTGAGAGAAACAAAAAAAATTATAAAGATTTTATAAATTAAAAAATTATTTAAGTTATTTTTTAATGTTTGTGTTTTTAGGTGATAATAAATAATAAAATAATAAAACCTTTTATTATATATATATATATATTATTTTTTTTACCTTTTATCACTTAATACAAGGAGAAATTATTTTATATTTAACCTAATCTAAAGAAATAATTTTTCTCAAATATTTATTATATTTAAACATAAATACAAAATGTTAAAATTATGATTTTTGACGTAATTTTTTTTGATAATGTTAAAACTATGGATTTTTCTTGTATTTAAACTATTAAAGAAAAAGAAAGATTAAATAATGAAATAAAAAAGAAAAAAGAAAAAAGAAAGGGTCTTATGACCAATGTTGAATATAAATTTTATCTTTATTTTATATTTTACAAATTTTGTTCTTTTATTTGAAAAACCAAAAATTAAAATATCAAATAAGAAATGAAAATGTGTTATTAATACTTCTTTGTAAACTTTGTTTATATATTATTAACTAAAATTTATTAAAATATAATAAAATCATGAGTGAGACTCGATAAATATGAAGTGAGACTTACAAAAAAATATAGTAATTTACAATAAATTTTTTATCAATAGAAAATGTGCCAAGAAATTATTTTAGAGGATATGTTGTTATTTCTCGGAATACAAAATCCTTGTTCCTTATATACAATGAACAACTATAATCCCCAGGGTGACTGCTTCGACGTTCCTTTACTTCAGAGGACATTGATGTTCGTTTTTCACTTGGTGAATGAAATTATAATCTATATGTTTTATTGTCATCTAATCAAGTCCATTGATTGCGTTTTGCATCGTTTTTTTTTCTTCTTCTTCTTCTTCAAGTTAGTGGTGTATGTCTGCGTTTTATTAACAATAGAGTATGAAGTATGTTATTCTTAAAAGTATGCCAGATAATTACATTCTAGTTGAAATACATGAAATAAAAGTTAGTTCAAGTAAAAAGAAAAAAATTACCAATTATAATTAGTTTGGTTAAACTTTAAAGTAAAAAAATCCTATTAAGTGAAATAATCTGAATCAATATAATTGATTTAGTTTAATTTGTTAGATTCATCATGTTAATATGAGTCCATGAACACCTAATACAGTTATACAAAATAAATTTAAAAAATCAATATTCGCATTGCTATATTTAACAGAAGTGGTGGACCCGTATTAACTTTAAATTGATCACAGAGATATAAGTAGATTTAGTTCATATTTATTCATGAAGCAAAGAAGGTGGCATAATCATCTCAAATTCTTAATAAGAAGAGTTGCAAACTTTAGTTAATGAAACCTTTAATTCTGGCTACCAGAGTTGCAAACTTTTGTTAATGAAACACATCTAATAAGAAGAGTCATTCATCCTAAGAGTTAAATAATTTCAAAAAGCATCTCATACTGATGCGCCTGTGATAACATTCGGCATGCATGCTTTTGTTGAACATGCTAAATGTAATATAATTCATGAGATTAATTAGACAAACTAAGTGCACTTCACTTGCTACTCCTTACATTTCTATAATTATGAGCCGTCATGTGCATTTCCAACTCAGACCATGCTATATATATGCCTGAATTGATTGTCTTAACTTCCAGCTTGAAGTTTCATCCGCCGTAAAGAAACATATGCCAATAAACGGTAACCAAAAACCATGGCTATCAGAGAAGCAACTTCTGTGAATCCACTGTCAATTCGAATCCCATTTATGGTAGGTGTCATGTGTTCATATTGAACCTTGAGCAATAGTTTGTACGTATGGTAGTTGAAAGATATGTAACGAATCCAAGATATAAATATAGGGACTTTCTGTCATGTTTAGAATTTAACATGAGTCAGTTGCATTTAACATTGGCAGGAGTTATATGAAGTTTCTCATATTTCTGGTCATCAAGTTCTCATCCTTTTAATAACTTCGATTAATAAAGAATGTCTTGCTGAATTGTAAAAAACACATGTTATTGTTTGATTGATCTTGATGACAAGGATGTAAAATATTTGATATACCTTGACAAGGAGAGGTTCAGTTACATTACACCTTACATAAAAGACTTTCGAAACAACCTTATAAGAGCTTTCGATAGTTTCTCAAATAAAAAAGTTATTTATTTTTAGTAAAGAAATTCTCAAAAGTTTTTTTAAATTTGTATATGAAGAAACTCTTAAACTTCAACAAATCATTTTGCTCTCTTAAAATTTTCTGAGCATATGTCAGGAAATGATAATTTTTCCTTTCAAGAAAAAATTGTTGATTAAATTTACCTTCACAAAAAAGCCTCCAGCCAGCATGAAAGTCATCACAGTTACTGAAGCCAAAGTTGTTGCCCTTTTCAAGTCCATTAGTGTGGCCCCAATAGCAAGTCCAAGTCCCTGCTTCACAACCATTCGCAATTAGAACTATAGGGCATTTTGGTTTATGTTATTATTATATTAGCAGTTGGATAATGAATTATAATGCATACCTGAGCTGCTATGATGCAGAGAAAAACTGTAAGAATACTGAGGAAAAAAGGCCCTGCACTGAGTCTCAAACTGGCCATGAAATAAACAACAAGGAGGAAAAACACTGGTAAAACCAGGTCTAGTAGAAGGTCACTCGTTGTTCTAGCCATGAAATATGCACTTAGTCTGTACATATCCGTTGTTCGTTCCTTTGTCAGCATGGCTCTCTCTTGAGGAAATGTGAATATTGCAGTGAACACAGGAAAGAATCCCCAAAATACAGCAATAAAGAAAAGCAGTCCTGCCTGCAGTGAAACAATTAATGAAGATTTTAACATACATTATATTTATGTTTGAAGTTACAATCTGATTTATGAAGTACTGACACATCTTTAGATCATATGCCCTTGCCTTACACATATCGGATGCACATGCCTTGATAAGTATTGGACACTTCTCCACCGCATCACGATTAATTTATTTTTTTGTTTGGACACCTCTGACATAACTTCAACACCTTTACTTATTCATGTTTCTTTATGAACCTTTTAAGAATAGAGAATAGGCTATTGGCAGATATAGTTTACCTGATCTTGCAAATCTTTTTGGTTTTTAGCATCTGATTGCCACCAGAGTAATCCTAATATGACAGCAGTGGAAAGAACTTGGGTGATTCTCAACCAGCTAAAATAGTCATGTCTCCTTTCTTTGAATCCTCTGGAAAACAATATAGAAAATTGCTCAAACCAACTTGCTCCCCAATTTCTTTTGTAAGAACAAACCTTAGACTTCACTTCTTCATCAAGGGGGACAGGAACCATTAACTTTGTCTTCTCTATTTCTGCAACTCGAGAATCATATGCCTCCACCAGATACTGTTAAAGTTCAAATGCAAGCACATCTGAAAATTTTGCTCTCGAGTCTCTTTTCTAGTTAAATGGTACTACTATCAAAAATAATAATGAGAATTTACCTCTTGTACAACTGAAGCTGATGGTTTCCCATTGCATGTTTCAGCTTCAGCATTTCCCATCTGCACTTTATCCTTTAACTCTGATGGTACAGAAATGTCATTTACGTTTCCATTTGCAAGGTCTAGTAAAAACTCTGCAGGGTTCATGGCAATAAGAGGTGTACACCCTATAAACTGGAAATAGTCCATTGCTTCGGATGCTTTTCCAAAGTATAGCAAGCTCCCTTTTCCTAGAAGGATCAACTTATCAAATTTATGGAAGAGTCTGCTTGATGGCTGATGAATTGTTGTCACTACGGTTTTGCCAGCCTGGTATAAGACTAAAAGGTTAGTAATAAAGATTCAAGTAATGATGAAATTATCTAGCCGGATATTACCAAATCATGCATGCAAGTAAATATTCCTATGTGTGGATAAAATGAGATTGGACCAAACCACAATCTAGACTGACATCTTCATATATGTGTTGTACTATAATAATGCTGGATGGATAACCCATGGTCCATGCTATTTGATATCTTGAGTGAGAAAGAGAGAAATGTGTAGTAGATACGAAAGGTGATAAAAAGAGAGAAATAGAGATAAAGAGAAATAAGGAGTGTCATTTGAGAGTTAATAATTAAGGAGTGTCCATATATATTGTTGATAAATTTGAGTTATTTGAATGTGATCCAAGACTTTCTCATTTGACATAATGTTTTTAAAAGAAACTTTCAGTATTTCATTTATAAGGTCAAATTGGGGTGGTTGGATGCTAGTTCATTAAACTCACAGGGAAGAATGAGGACAAGTACCTCTGCTATGTCTTGTAGCATTTGAACTATCCTTAAGGCTGTTGTGGAATCCAAACCAGAAGTTGGTTCATCAAGAAACAGAAGAGAAGGGTTGATTATGATCTCATTGCCAATACAAACTCTCTTCCTCTCTCCACCAGATATTCCTCGAACATAGGAACCTCCTATCATAGTATCTTGACACCTGTTTTCATACACCCAAATGACACTTATCGGCTTTTATAGTTAATATACAATATATAATATTTATTTATCCCTCACAAGGGCCCACAACCATATTCAATTGATCATTTAGCTATATTCTTCACTATGTTTATGCTTATGCTCAATCGATGATTATGACTTTTATGCTCATAATAATTGTCATGGATGGAAGCATTTGCATTTACCTCCCCAATCCCAGCTCATCGATGACATCTAAAGCTCGTTTTTCCTTTTCCTCTTTCGTTAATTTATTTGGCAATCTTAGGCGGGCTGCATATGTCAATGTTTCCTTCACAGTAAGGTGAGGAAACAGAACATCATCTTGTGTCACGAATCCAATCCTGCCAAATGCATGTTTCTTGTAAGTATGGCATAAACTAAGATAACTTTTTACAATATGGTCCAAGACGCATATAGGAACCATCAAAGAATTAAAAAATAAAATTCTAACTATGTAAGATAGTCACTAGTTGGATTTTTACCTGCTCTTTAGGATCTTGGAATAAGGTTGGTCATTGTAAGTGATAGAGCCACCAGTTGTGGACTGAATTAACCTTCCTCCTAGCAGATTTAACAAAGACGTCTTTCCACTTCCTGAAGGACCCATCAATGCCAAAACTTCCCCAGGATTTACAGAACCAGTGATCCCCTTCAGGATATCCTTCTCCTTAGTTGTAGTTAAGCCTTTAATCACCACCTTGTAGGTCACATCAGTGAACTGCACAGTCAAGAACAAGAATTCATCTCAATTAGAGAGATCCATCACAAACACACAGTACAACTTAAAAATAAAGCACAAAAGTAAGCACAATGCACGAAGGCAATTTTTTTAAAAAATTTGTCCAACTATTCATACTCCATACCCTTCTTTCTCTGCCAAACCATGTTATTAAGCCTCACATAGCTAAAGCCTCGAAGCCAGAAAGGTTCCAATCTTGAACCTAGCTCTTTCAAGCGTATGAGAAATAAAACTAATGTGTTGAAACTTGATGCCCTGTGGGAGGCATCAAAAAGAAATTCAGAAAATTTTAGTACCATGTTAGGCATATGTTCATGTTGTACGTACGTTGTTACTAATCCTTTATCTAGTTAACTAGAAAGAAGGGGTAGTCTTGTACATTGACGTCACATGAAATGAAACTTTGTACAAGACTGAACCTGAGCATGCTATATTGATAGCCATGTAACATGTTCTATTGGTGGCGTTGATCGCTAAATGAAGCTTCACCGTTGCCTGCCCAAATACATATATAGCACTAAATCAAACTCATGCTCTGTTGAAGGTTTGAACAGTACCGGCAGAGGTAGGTTCTGGTAGGAATGAAGAGCGCAACATACTTAATTTTTGACAAAAAAAAAATGTGTAATACCTTCAGATATATTGGCAGAGTAGGTTCAGTCTGAAACTTCGGCTTACGAGTTCCTGCTTCAATATCCTCCGCTGCAATATACATAGTTACCCTTTTCATATAATTCACAACTCACAAGGAGGCAAAAAATGTCCTCCACTTAGTGTATGCAGTTATGTACTATAAATTTGAATGCATGTTCACGTGTATGTGTTACTTTTAGTAGGACAAATGCATGTTTTAAACCGTATACATGGGTGCTAGAAGCTTCAGAGGGAACAAATCATAAGATTCCTTAAAATTGAGGTATACAGGACATATCATAAAAGTCCAAGTTATATAGAGCATTAATTAGTCATGACACTTGACAAAGTGAAGCTATTTCGACGCAGTAGAGGATAAAAGTCAAGCAGAAATTTAATGAAGGGGCCCAAGAAGGAGACTATATGCTCTCCAACAAAAAAGGAAGACTGGGTCCAAGTGCAACCTAGCTAGCTAATTGTGGTGGGTACCAAGATATTCAATAAGTTATAAAGATGGCCAGATGGGTCATATTCATATTCATATTCATAGTTATAAAAAGGAGATTATATTCATAGTTATATAGCCAAGATAGTCAACACGTTAGAAAAGTATAAATGTACTGAATCCAAGTGTCAGGTTCTGGTAAAACATCATACTATCAGAGTGAATTCTCGTTACATTTGTCCTCATTACATGCATGAATAAATTTTAGTGTTTTAGTTCCTCTTGTTAGTGCCCGTTTGGTCTAGCTTCTGGATGTGGTTTTTCACGTCTCTCTTGAAGTTGCTTAGACCTGTTTCTACATCAATTTCTTATTCTTTACGTGAAAATAGAGTATAATATGGATCACGGCCGTGCAAGCACACCCTTAGTTACAAAGTAACTTGCATAGTTTTAGCGTCTCTAAAATTGCCACAAAATTGAAACCACACAAACATAATGAACTTTGAAATTCCAGCACAACTGACAGAAAATTTCTAAGAACAAATTAATTGTACGGAACTACAACATAGAATGTAAATAAGTACATGGATCAAATGGGTAAATAAATTTTGAAAAAAATACTAACAATTTATTGGTTTATTTCGATTAAGATAAAAACATTGGGTTTGTACAAGATTCTAACATATCATTAATGCATCTTAAACAAATTTTAACAATTTTCGATATATATCCAAGAATTTTAGTTTGAGCATAAGTAATGTGGAAACAAATAAAACTGTACCATGAAGTCAGGTTAAGGAGAAATAGACGTAGACTGAGGATGCATGAAATGATAATTATGGTGATTAATTAGAAGCACGTTACATGTAGGTGTGTGGATAGGTGGGGACCATAGCCAGGCATAGATACAACTATAAGTGGTGGTTCATACTTCATATGGACAAGCACTACACTAGGACGTCGACATACTACTAGCTATGATTATCTTCTACGGTTTGGGGAATATGAGTCACTTGTTTTTTGGACTGTTATGATCACGTGTTTGTGCTAAGAGGTTGTTGGTTGGTTTGGAACCCGACTAAGACGCCTCCCGTAACTGAAAACAGGTGAGTCTATTAACACATGACACTATAGGTGTCATATCGTTGAATGTCTATAGTCGACTCAATAATATCCATGAGATATCTATGCATGTTTTCGATTTACAAAATATATAATTAATAATACTCAATATAGGTATTATATATAGATTAATTGAGACTCTGATAATTTTGAACAAACTATTAATTTTATTTATCGCTAGCTTATACAAGAGGTCCAACTTACTAGAGTAGTATCTAATGATATTTTTACTGGAAAAGCATAAATTGAAAGCCATTATATATCTCCCCAACAGGACAACTAAAATGCATATTTGTTGAACCATTAACCAGAACTTACAAGCAAATATTATATATAAACCCAGTTAAACTTTATGAGACTACGACATGAATGTCACATAGTATTATTATTTGAAAACTATTCTTTTACATCATTTTTGTTTAATAAAATGCATACAGTAAAATGTGTACTATTTTTTTTCGATTAATAAATATGCAAAACAAGTATATCAAATTGCAAACAGCAAAACATTGTTCTAAAACATTAAACAATCACTTTTGCACTATGTTTTTAACCCAGTTATTCCATCTTTCACTATGTTTTAGTTAAATTAATCAAATCTCTAGGCTATATATAAATGGTGGGAAAATGTTATAAAAACAACAGGTTCTTCTAATCATTGGCATGAACCAATTTTGTTTCGCATCGCATCCGTAGTACCAATGCCCAGCCAAATTATATGTGAATCACACGTACGTAGTCAAACTAGTAATCGTACTTTCCTGTGTCTCTTTTAACTTTCATCATGACTATTATCAATATAGTAATAATTAACAACTTTGATATTTCTGCATGGAAAAAGTTGAAGTAAATTTGAGGTACAGTTGAGGAGGAGATAGTAATGTAAGTTTTTAATTTTAAAAAATACAAATGAAAAATAATAAGTTAAAAATATATATTAACAATATACATGAAAATTAAACTATATTTTTTTAAGGTAAAAAATTAAACTATTTATTATTTGTATAAAATAATGTAAGTTTATAATTAAAAAAAAATGAAAATGTTAACAGTTAAGAGTAAGAGTCCAATAAGGTTATGTCATCACAAGGTTAGTCTTCCAGTTCTTGTACACGTGTTGTCATTTGAAGAAAAGAGAAGCAGTTAGTTAATCACCCGCATATGAAAGGATTGAGATTTTCTACAGTTTTGAAGAGAACTGTATGAACTTGGACCTTTCATTAACTTTATCTGTGAACTTTCAAAACTACAGCGAGTTGTGTTGTTTATATATTCTAATCGATATGGGACTCGAATATTTGTCCACAATTATGGCATGAGATTCTAAAAAAAAATAATAGATGGTTCATGATTGAGTGTGAATTGACTTACGGATATCGTCGTCGCTGAAAGGTTTGGAATCGGCGATTTCATCAGGAGGCAGAGTGAAGCCGGTGAAGGAGAATGAGAGCCCCAAGCTGGCACTCGAAGCTCGGCTTAGAGCCACGCCGCTGTTAACCTCATCCACCTCAACCTTCAACTGAGCGCTCCTTGCCTTTCTTATGTGCGCGTTTTTCCCCCCGCCGCGACCCGGCGACGCCGCCATCATCCTCCGGCTCGATTTCCTTGATAGCGTTCCGCCACCCTCCGCCGACGGCGGCGACTTCACACCTGTTGCCTCCGCCGCCAACTCCGCTAGCTGATCCGATTTCGTTCTCGCTAAGCTGGATGTACTTGCATTTTCCATACTCACAGCCATTGCTACAGTGCTAATAATTAAATTAAATTAACACTCTACGTAATGTTGAGGCTAAGAACTAATTAACGACGGAGAAATAGTGTAGAGAAGGATATAACTGAGCCTGCAAATTTAGATTCTTCATTTTGCCCTCCAAAATTAGTAGTAAGCGAAGATTGTTGACATTATGATAAATTAAATAATTAAAGTATACAAGATTATGATATGAGAAGATCGTTGCTGGCTTTGTCTTACCGTACTTTTTATTTTTTTTTCTGCTTTCTGAGAGAGGAGTAACGACCAAAGCAGAACCAGAAGACAGAGTGAGAAGAAATTCGCGGGACTATAAGAGAATGGAATGGATCTGGACCATGTTCAAGTAAACAATTGCTCATCCAACTTACACAGCATGTGGAGCATTCACCCTTTTTATAACGTCCAGTTATGAGTCGGGAACAAAATTACTAAACTACCCTTCTGTTTCCTTCCTAATATCACTTGTAACTGCATTCTGTGACAGGTTAATTAAGTACTCCACTTCACTACTTGAAACGAACTTTACTCGTTTTCAGCATTAATATATGAAATTTACCACTTGCCTAAAAAAATATATATATACTGCCCTTGTGGAATATGTAATAGGAATATAATTACAGTTCCTTTTTTGTCTTTATAATCTTTCCATCACGCGCTTTTACCTCACATTTTCCTTCTTAATTTTCTTATCTTTATTATAAATTGTAAGAAATGTTATAAAATATATATATTACATGGGAGTGGCGTCATGGTACGTAATCGTAAAAGATATGATTGAGTTTGCATGAATGCGCTATCTGCCGTACACGTATTGGACATGAATAAGTTTTTTTCTGATTATTTTGCATGAAATTCTGAGAGTTTGGACAGACTGAGGATGTGCGTCAACTGGTTGGAATTTTGATGTGATGACAAGACAAGGGTAGCGCTTTTGGTATATATTAATGAAGGTTTAACCTTATATGGGGACGCCTTCTCATGGCTGACGTGTGTGCTAATTAATCAAGTACACCTAATATGGACAAATGTCATGCTAGTTTGAATATGAACTTGTGTTGGGTTGGAGCTTGGAGGCTGCAGCCTGCAGGAGGGGCCTCTGCATGTGTACAATCTTCATGTCCTGGTTGCTTCAGATCAATCGAGATAATTACCTGCACTAGAGGGAACCCAGGTTTTGGAATTTTGCATACCAAAAAGGTGTACGTTAACTATATGTGAGATTTGGTTTAATCTAACTTGTCGTCTACCCATTGTTGGGTTTGGGATTGGGATAGAAAAGAAAATAGAATATAAGAAGGGAACATACTAGATGTAAAAAGAAATATAGATGTGAAGGAAAAGAAGGACAGAAATAAAAACAAAATAAATAAATAAATAAATAGTGAATGTATATATATAAATTTATAATAACCCTTGACTTAATTATTCAGAATGATCGATACAGGCATACAGCTATGTATGGACAAAATGATTAATTAATGAAAAAAGCTGTCAAGTATGGTCATGGTCGCTCTTAATTTGCATATCCTTTATTTTCCTCATCAGTCATCATCCAAGTTCAATTCATTTGTTGTACTAGGTTTCTCGAAATTTTTATTTTCTTTTTAATTCTTTGAAATACATAGCCAGTATATAATTTGAACAATTTCAAAAACAGAAGTTATACCTTTGTAAATACATACATATATATATATATATAGATATATATAAACTATATCTCATTAGTTTAAATACACATGGAAGATAAAGCCAAGCAAATAACTTTATAAAATTAAGAGCAATATTATTATACATAAAACTTCTACAATAATTATTATGCGTTTATTTTTTTTCTTTATCTCTAATTATCATATTACTCATTTTATCATTTCGAATTCCCCCCTATTTTTTCATATCTATTATATTAGGTGCTGGGGTATCTCACAAATTTAGCTACGGATCTAAGAAAAAAAAGTCTTTAAAAATTAATTTCTGGTGTTGAAATAATCTAGATGGCACACACGCATAGATGCTCACATTATATTCCTCATAGATAAGTTCTGGGTTGAGGATATATAGAAAGTTGGAAATATTCTGCTGATTAATTAATTAAATTGTTTGGAATAGCGAAGGACGACATGTACCGATCGATCAATGACTGCACATATATATTGACACTGGCTTTCGTTATCTATGGCAAGGAATTTGGTGAAGAGTACACGGTTTCTACGTTGAAAAAAAGAGGTCATTCTCATGGTGCAGTACTAGTAATGAGAAATTTGTGGCGAGGATGAGTGGTCACAATAGTGAATAGCTGTGAAGATGGAGAAAGGTGTGGCCCAAAAGGACTTGTTTGGTGCTTCATGATGATAAGTCGATAAGGAGCTGTCTACATATCTTTTTCCGCTCCATGGTTGGTCACCCTCCTTTCACAACAACTCGCCACGTATTCATTTAAATCTGCATTCAATCCCATAAATTATATAATGTTCTATATTCCAAATAGTCTTCCAACACATGCACGTGACATGCAACATCATTTTTCATCCCTCCACTGGGAATGAATTCAAGATTGAATATGATTCAGATACATTTCTGTTATATAAACTCTTACCTAGCTTCATAAATGAACGTTCAATCAAATAATGCTCCACTTTAATTATTTTGATGTGATGCAAGAGATATGATTATCATTACCGAATTCTTTAATCATTTATATGAATGGGCAACCATATTGTTTAATTTAAAATAGGTGTTAATATGTCTTATCTCCATTTTATTAATTGGGTCAAGATTTGTCAATTATACAAGTGATGATAATTGATAAAGGATGAAAATTTATTCATAGAAAGAAATAGAGTACATAAAGATCCAATTCCAAGCTTTATTATATCACTACACTAGTGACCATTGTTCATAAAAACTTTGAACAGAATGAGGCGGTGCCCTTGGTGGAAGGGAATCTCACGTGACAAGGACGTGATGGTTACTTACACAATGTGTGCATGAATGAGGTCCACTCACTTAGTGGGTTTAATTATTTAAAATATCGAACTATTGTCGCTAATACGTCAAAAACAAAAATGCTGAGTTGAGCCGCCATCTCTCGCCAAGTGTGTTGCCAGAATTCATTACGGACATTGCCACGACACGTGGCTTTTGTATGGCCCTAATTCCCCCATTTTTATTCCACGTATCATCCCGTTTCTTCCTTCAATCTCTATTGTTCTTCCCCACTTTTTGGCCTTTCCCACATTAATTTCCCCGTTTCAGCCACCCATGAAAATTAAGACAGAGAATAATGTGTGTGTATATATATAGGGAATAAATTAACTGAAAAAAATGCATTTATATTTGTTTTGTGTGTAGAGAAAATGAAATGTGTAATTGAGACTAGCTAGTTTAAAATTTTAATTTATTGAGTTTAAACAGATTTTTCTAAAATATAACTTTAACATATGTTGTAGAATAACAAAGTATATAACTTGATCCAAATTTACAGAGGATGTTTGATTTAGGTTTTAAAAGATTGTCTTAATATAAAAATATATTATAATTTTTTTATGATTTTGTATGAGTATAATAGCTTTTTAATTTAAAAAAATTATAATTATGATAGAATCGATCAAGTTATTTAAGATAAGACGAGGTGGATTGATGCATCAAAATATTAGGGTAGTATAGATTAACTCACCAATAAAATTGAGTTGGAACATGTAACTCATCCTACTTAGTGATGAATAGACAAATTAGTTCACTTAATTAGCGAGTTAAGATTTCTAAGTTGACTCACCTTTAATCTATCCAATTATTTAAAAAAAATTAATTAAAATATTTTAATATACATATTACTTCAATTTGTAATTTTATTATTATTAATAAAATTTATTAAAGATGATATATTTTTCATGTAAAAAGACAAAGTAATATGTTTTTATTAAAAAAAATTATACATAAAAATGTACTAATAAAAAATGTAATTAAAACAATATACTTCTATTTCATATAAAATGATGAGAATAATTGTCTGAAAAGAGAAGTTATAAAATAAAAACATTGATTTAACATAAATTTACTATAAATTTATCTTATAAAAACAAAAAACAACTAAAAGAAATGAGTTGACAAGTTGATTGACAAGTTGACAAATTAATGGGTTAATTAAACTCAACTCACAAAAATAAGGAGGTCAATGATCCACTAATTCAATCCATATGTTATTTCTAATATTAAATTAAAAAAATAAGTGTTTGTCAAATTTTAAGTATTGAATAATGCAAAAACTTTAACAATTATTTAATAATTTTAAAAAATTATTAAATAATAAATAAATTTTACATCAATATTAATAAATAGGAAAAAATGAGAAAGAATGCAAGTAAAAAAAAGAGAGAAGTAAATGAATTAAGTTATTTATTACTTGTTACTTTTTCAAATCCAAACTATTTATTACTTGTTAATTATTTGATTTTTCTTATTATTAAACTTAGTATAAACGTTGACAATCAATAAGATGCAGCGCTTTGAATCGCCATTTCTTAACTACCACTGCAGACCGGCTAATAAAAGAAGAAAAAAACAGTGTCTTCTTAATTCTTATTATAAGAAGACTTTGACCGTTGTCTGAAAAATCCCTTCTATACACGATTTACAGCAAGTCAGACATGACAAGCGGAAAATATTCTTAAAAATAATACTACCATGATACCATCTTCATGTTCCTATCTAAAGTCCAAAAGCATGTATATATTATATTACCTGATGCAAAGTAGACGAATTCAGACTAGACCAAGCACTTGTCTAATTTCAACCACCATGTCTTAGGTCTTATATATATATGTTTATATATACTTGTCCCTCCCCAATATATATGCAACCTATCACTTCTGATCATATTCTAGAGCTCAAGTCAAGAAAACTTACCAGCATTAATTCAACATATCTTCTTATCTTGTGAATGGATTCCCAAGCCACAGGACACAAGCAGTTGCAGGGTCCAAAGCCTGCATCTCTTATGGTTAACAGAAACTCCTCAAAGATCAAGAAGCAGCAGCACCTCTCACCCCTTATAGTGCATTTGAGGTCTCCCAAGGTCATTCACGTGAAGCCTGAAGAATTTATGGGTCTCGTGCAGCAGCTAACTGGCAAACCCGTTTCAGCATCCAGCATGGAGAACGGAAGCACCGTTACTACTACCATGGATGAAAACTCGATAGAGGATTTTATAGGTAGCGCAGGGCATACTGCCATTTCTGTTGATTTCCAAGACTTGATGCAGTTTCTACATTTTGTATGAGCGTCGTTATTGTTATTATTTATGATTATGATGATTAAAAACACATTATTATTGCCAAATGTTTGCAAAAACGAAATTATTAATTAAATCTATCTGCTTATAATAACTTTTAACTGAAGGGAGTCATGAATAAGGAGGGAATTAATTAATGTGCGATTTTGTTAGTCAAAGTTATATATATATCCACATGGGGCTGACGATGAAGTGAGACCAGAGTTGTGAAAATTTGGTGGAAATAGCCAAATAGGTTGAACTTGGCGTCAATTGACCAGGAATTGAGTGGTCTTGAAATGTTTAGGTTTGACTGTGGTTTACCGATTCGCAGGACGAGATTGGTTTGAAAATAATCGTCAATCTAAATAAAAACAAAAATGTAGTTGAGTCTTGAGAGTTGAATATTCCAATTTATAAGAATTTTTATCAGGTGGCCAAGATCAAATGTTGTCTATATATAAATATTTGATTAGTTTAATAGCTGTCTCGTATCGTACCCAAACCAAAAAATCAATGATATGTATTACTCCAGGAATCAATGACAATGTTATCTATATTTAATTAGACCGGTAATCATATGGTGTACTTGGAGACAAATTTATAAGGTACGTATGAGGTGGTGTCTTGTGTATACCCATCATGCAGGCAAGGCAATGAACTTCAAAATGCTGCTCATTCATTCTCCTGGACGTAGGTAGGCATGATAAATAAATCACATGTAGATATCCGTCATATAATTTTAATAATAGTAATTAATGTTAAGAATTATTTATAATTTTTTATATGATTATTCAAAATATAAAATAATTACATTGATACTTAATTAAAATAAACTTAAAAGTGTATATTTAACTAAAAATATAATTTAATTGTTGTTTTTAAAATATTGTTATTTATTAACTTTCATATTACTTAGGTTTAAATATAATTAATATCATAATATATACTCTATTTTAAAATATTAAAAAAATAAAATTATAAAAAAACTTGTAATCAGTTTTCCATAAATATGCTCCAACTCGATAAAATCTAATGAAAATGGAAATGAATTTAAGAATAATACAAATTCGTCTCTTTTAAACTTAAACTCTAATTATCCACCTAGTCTTTTTTATAGGGACGAAGACAAGAAAAGGCAACTGTTGACTAGTCCTATTATTAGAGCCAAATTTGCCTCTCTTATCTTATTGTCATGCTTGAGTAGGGTGTTTTCACATCAAGTTTGTTGATATGGTTTGATTTTTTAATCCATAATATTGTTTATTTTGATACTTATTAGGTTATCATAATTTTGTAATTTTGTCTTGAAAATGTTTGTTTATAACTTTTTTTTTTTAATTTCTAAATGATGTGAGATTCTTTTTACATATCATAATAAGTATTATAATTGAAGATAAAATAGTAAAAATGGCTTAAATCTTTCTTATAACATCAATATTCTAATCTAAATTCACTAAAATTGTTAAGATTACATTATTTTGAGATATTGTACACTTTAGTGTTCATTGCAATATCATAATTCAATATCTTATGAATTGAGAGAGAATATAATATTTATAAATTATTATTGATCTTGCTTTTTAAATAATGTTAGACTTTTTAATAGATGAAATAAAGATGAACCATGGCATAAGGGCACTTGGCTTTTGTTGTTATCCTCTTCGACGACCACCATCATGCACTCTTTACAAGTCATGAACGAGAAAAAAAAATGTTTTTCTACCCATGACATTCTTTGCATTCCATTGTGGTAGATCTAGTACACGTGTCATGCTTTGTTATGAAAGATCTATACTTCGTCACAACAGATTTGTGCTCCGAATCCCATCGACTAGATCTACATTGAAAAAGAGAAAAAAGTAATGTGACAAATTCCATTCATATAACTTAGAAAATTAGTCCCACAAACAATTTTACAATTTTAAAAACATTTATCATAGCAAACCAGCATTCATTTCTTACAAAAAAATAGTTTTTTTTTCGTGATTTAACGATAAAATTATGATTAAACAATTTTAATTTGAAAATAAATAATTTAATTTTGTTAAAAAAATGTTATTTATGTTTCAAATATTCAGATTAAAGATATTAATTTATAATTTGTCTCATCTTTTGGGAATAAGATGTTTGAATGAATAAAAAAAGCTTAAATATTTGTCCATGATATAAGGATATTACGGTCATATTATTAGGATTAATCCTAGAGCTAATGACAACGAAGAATATTGTGGAAAAAGAAGAATAGTGATGCATTTTTATTTTTAAAATAATAAAGAAGCGAAAAAATATTTTTTTTGGGGCCCACGGGCTAAAATTGATTTGTTCCTTGGAATAAATAATAGTGTAAATTATTTGGCAGATGATAAACACACCTCCACTCTCTTATAAACACACCCTCTTTTTAAAAAAAATATACATAAAATATCTAAATTACCCTTTAAAAAAATAAAATTCTTAAATTTACACCCCTCTTTTCCGCACCCCGTTCCCGTATCCCGTTCCCCGCACCTCACACCCCCGTTCCCCGCACCCCACACCCTCCCTAACCTCGGCAATAAACATCAGACGGAAATGGAGAATTGGAGATGACTAATAGGGTCAGGGATGAGTCATTACTTCAAAATTTAATCTTCATTTTTTTCGTAAAAATCCTATATATTTTCATTCCGGCTTGACACGTAATTGTAGTTTTCATTGTTTAGATTTTTGTGGAGTTGTTTCTGAGAGCTTCAGGAAATGATCTCACAACGGATTGTTGCTGTCTGATTTTCGGTGTTTCTCTACTTACCGCAGTATTATATCACATGTTACCATGTTTGCATATTTCTGTGCTTCTCAATTCTATTGGACACCTACATGAAGTGTCAATGTTACAATAAATGGATCTATGGCTCTATGCTCTCTTCCGTTTCTGGTCTTGAAGACCAGAATATGAAAAACAACGATTGAAAGTATCTAGCGGCAGCGAGGGTGTCGAGGGCGAGATCAACGGTGGAAAGAGACTTTAAGAAGAAAGGAGGTGTGAAGTGTGGGGTGCGGGAAAGAGGCTTTAGGAAGAAAGGAGGTGTGAAGTATGGGAGTGCGGGAAAGGGGGTGTAAATTTAGAAATTTCATTTTTTTAAGGGTAATTTAGACATTTTATATATTTTTTAAAAAAAGGGAGTGTGTTTATATGAAAGTGGAGGTGTGTTTATTACCTGCCAAATTATTTGGGTAGAAGATCATGAAAGGCCTGACTCCTGAGGCAGGCCAGCCCAATATAAAAAGTTGCAAAAAGTGGAACGGTGCTGTAACGGCGTGAGAAACAGGAGGGAAATCAAATTTCGTTTTAAAATGTAAACGCACAAAAAATTAAACCAATTTCAACAGGTCCCGCTGTGTTCGCCATTCACTCTCTCTGGTCTCTACCCTCTTCCCTTCCTGCGCCAAACTCACACGACACCAACATTCGCCTATCGATTAGGTTTCTTCTATTCCCTCGCGTTTTCGATTCGCATTTTTCCTATTCAAATTATTTTTCAAAACCTACGCTCTTGCGCTCATAATTTGTAGCATTCGCATTCAGAACGCCCAACCCTTGTGCAATTTGTGGTTTCTATCGCAAATATTTCATGCTTACTGACTCTACCCTTACAGATTAACCACGATGATGCGTTTTGGTCGGTGAAGTGCGCGTGGCGACGGTGTTCCCAAGCGAGGCATGGCAAAAGTGGCAAAATCAAGTTCCGTGCCTCCGAGCTCTCATCGACTTGGCTCAGGGGCTTTGAAAAGTGGATCCATGGCTAAAAAGAAGACACCTTCGGAACTTAGGGTAAGTTGCCAAGCTCGCTACCTCAACTATGTATGTACTTGGGCTTTGATTCTAGCATTCGATGCGTAATGGTCTTATTGTTATACTTTTGTGAACCATTAGGGTCAGCACTACTGACGGCTTAGTGGTGAGAGTTAGGGTGGTATGAATCTTGTAGTTGTTATTGTAATTCATACCCATAGAAGAAAAATTGTTATACTTTTGTGATATATAATTTCATTTTCACTGGTCCAAGAATGAGTTACTGTATGCGCTTTTTGCTTGACTAAGTAGTAGGTACATGCTTTCAAGGTGTTTCCATTATGTAGGTAATGTATAAATATAAATGGTTGCCTTGAAGTAAAATATCCCCTAGGATTATGATTTGGAAGTGAACTTTATAGACATAGTTTATGACCAGTTGTATCTCTACTATGGTCGCTCGTTTCTCATATCAATTGAAATGGAGTCTGTATCTTGGTGCACCCCTGACTCCCTCCACATATAGGCATAATACAATTTCAATTAACTAGTATATATCTGTGGTCAAGGCAAAATTTTAATTCTCATACCGTATATTCTTGACAGGGAGAGCTGTTGAAGCGGGCAAGTGTTGTGGACCTTACTGATGAATCACCATGCCCCTCCTTGGCTGAGCCTACAAAGTAAGCTTCTGCTTCTCTTTCAATCTATTATTTCATTATTTGCTGAGAACATGGTTGATTTATGTTTGCAGGATCACAGAGGTGGACAATGGACATAACAAAAAAGGATTGTGGAGGGCCCCTAGATACACTGACACACGAGTTGATGAAGTATTTACTGCCAAAAAGTCCAGGTTTAAAATTGCATCTGGAAAGGAAAATGCAAAGGTTGTTAAGTTGACATTTTAATTAAATCTTTGATCCCAAGATGTTAATGTTGTTGGTAGTGAACAATGCAAACCTTTTTACTATGCTCAGGAAAATCCATCTTTGGGACAAACTAGTAATCTGAAGAATCTTTCAGTTTTTTCGACTTTGGAGGCCAAGAGACAGCAAGGAAATTCATGGTTTGCTTCATAGTTTAGATGATTGCTTGATCCCATGGTTATGTTTTCCCAATGCTGATCTTGCTCCAAATTTGTTGTCAGCTTGGAAAATTCTGTTTCTTCAGCTGAGGTTAGCAAAAATGATGTATTACGATCTTGTCAAACAGTTGAAAAGTGCAGCCAAGGAACATTTCTTAGTGTTGCGGAGCTTTCATCAGCTGCTGATGCATCTTGTGACTTGGCTACTGTTGACATGGTAAACAATGAAATTGTCTGACTTTTTCTTACCTGTTTACTTACATTTCAGATCCTATAATTAGGCTACCAATAATAAATTATAGGGCAAAGCTTTAAAAGGACTAGTTGCATTCGAACCACATGAGGCTAATGACATTGCTGCTGATTCGGCTGAAGGACACACAGATTTGCCAACTGTTGCAGGAAACTTCTTATCTGAATGCCATCTACCTGGCCAGAAAATCCCTTTGGATCTTACTCTAAAATCAAGTATG